AAAACTCAATTAAGTGTTATTCTTATTCTTCTTTCTCACCTTTCTTTCTCTGTCTCCTTTCATATTTAAAGGTTGCTGTGTTAAAAATATATTGTGCTATCATGCTGTTTTGTATTGTTTTGGTAAATAAATAGTTTATGAAAATATCACTAAATCTGTCATTTATTAATTGTAATATTCTGTGAAATTATCTATTTGTAGTCTATCTGCAGGAAGTTGTAGTTTCTTCACAGCAGGCCCACATCAATGAAACCAGTAGCAGCAACAATAGTATTCTTAACTATAATCTGAGCAGAAAACTTTGGTGTTCTTTTTGTCTGCCTTTCTTCTTCCTGCTCTGTGTTTAGTTAGTTTACTTTTTCTGCAGTGTATAATCCTGCTGGACTCTGGTTCATCTGGTTTTTACATATAGTTTCTACCTTTGAGTCTCATTTACACCTGACAGGAAGTCCAACAGCAGCACTGCAGGAAACACCTGAACATGTTGACGACAACATTCATGATGAAGAATATTTCTCAAAGCATAAACAAATGAATTCATAGAGAGAAACACTGCTAAATTTGGTTCTCATCCTTGAAATAATCTTTAGTTTAGCTGAAAGAAAAGCAGAAAATCGTCAGATGTAAAGAATTTCTGTGGGAATGTTTCCTTACTGAGGAGCATCTTGACCTCGACAGGAGCTCACCTTTTTCTACATTTCCCTCAAAATCTGAGCTTAATTTACAGACTCATGGCTGAAGTTCTCATCCTGTTTGACTCCTTTTTAATGTTCTTAGCATGAAGGTTCGTGGAGGAGGAGGAACCTGAGCAACTCCTGTCATCACAAACTGCCGTATAACAAAAACACATGAAACACTTGTAGGGTCTTAATGAAATCTGTTTATTTTACAACATGAAGAAAATCAAAGCATCTGAAAGAAGAAACACAATAACAACAAAAAAATAAACTCCTCCATGGAGTGAAAAGTTGCTCTGAAACAGGAAAAACACTCTCACAGTTTATTTTGACAAATAATAATAATAATAATAATTATAAACTATCACAATAACAAAGAGCAGATGAACATATTTGATATCTATATTAACCATATTTACATTTAATCCCACCTTTCAGTTATAACAAAACAGTAAGGTATCATCCTTCATTCGAGGGGGGAGGGGGGGGGGGGTTATTTCTTAAACTGTTTTCCAAACTTGTACTGCAGAGCTCCTCTGGTTCCTTCATTCTCTCTGCTTTGCATCTCTTTCAGTTTCTGGACCTTCTCTTTGTCTCCTTTCTCATCCATCTTCTCAATCAGGAAGTCCAGGTGGACAAATGTGAACGCTGAATCAGCTTTCAGAGCGATCTGCTCCAGTCTGACAACATGTTGGTAGGACTCATCCAGTAACTGTGACTTCTCTGCTGTCAGTTGGTTCATTTCTTTATTAAGATCTTCCAAAAGAGTTGACTTCTGGTCACTTTCCGATTTATTCTTCTCATACTTTTTCTTCATTTCTTCCAAAGTCCTCTGAACTTTCCTTGTCTTGGTCACATATTTTTGTTCTTCTTTCACATGAGCTGATGCAGGACACTTATTGGTACAAACAGTGCAGCAGCCATCTTTCATGACCTCACAGTGTTTAGCATACCAGGCCATTGTGCATCCAGGATAGTGACAGTTCTCCTCACAGACAGTACAGCAGGTAGCTGCTTTGTAAAAAAAAACCCTCATCCCAGCATCAATATCTTCTTTAACTTTGTAGACCTCGTCAACTTCTACAGTGAAGTTTTCATTCTTCGTCATCTTTTCTTTATATTTATTCAGAGCTTCTTGACTCTGTCTGATTTCTGTCTGCTTCCGTTCTGCCAGGTCAATTCTGTCTTTCAGGTTTTCGATGGAGGCTGTCAATCTGATTCGTTCTGTCAATACTTTTTCTGTTTTCTTTACATTTTGAGGTGCAGTTCGTTCTAGAAAGTCTGAGAACTCTCTCATTCCTTTATCTGTTACTCCCCAAGAGAGCTCAAAGACAGACACATCTTCCTCTGTTCTATCTTCCTTCTGTTGGTTATCAAACAGGAAGTGAATGGGCTGATCCTTCTCATTTCTGGCACATTTAAATTTTGCAGCTTTAAGAACTTTAAAAGCAGTTTTAGGTGCAATTCCCTTTGAATTTGTGATGAGAGTTATGATATTTTTCTCTACGTCTTTTCCAAACAGAGACATAATTGCATCAAAGACGTACATCAGTCGGTCACTCAGTCTATTATCTGTCGCCTTCATCACCAGACCCACTACATTAACTTCATGAACTCCATCCTCTGATTGAAACAGCCCCAATAATTTTTGGTAGATAATGTCATCATGCTCAGTCCCTCTGGTGTCTCCATATCCAGGAGTATCGATGACGGTCAGAGAGTAGGGCAGAATTTCATCTTCAAAACCAAAGATCTCGTACACGATCACATCTGATGTCTGACTGTCTGTCTGATTATTCTCCTCCTCCTCTACAATCTGAAACCAGACTTCATCCTCCCACTTCACTCCCATGGCGTAGTTGAACAGAGCGTTGATCAGAGTAGATTTTCCTGCTCCTGTTTCACCCACAAGTAAGATGGTCTTATTTGTCTTGTTCAGGTTTTTTTCACCAACAGTCATTCTTGTTAGAGTTCCAAACTCTTGTTTCTTTGGTCTAAACTGGTAAACAGCAGGAGATCTTGGATTAATTTTAATACTTCTGCATATAATGTCCTTGTATTTGGATGAGATGTTTCTGTAGAAAAAAGTGAAAGAGCTCAGTACATCGTTAAACCTGGGTTACAAATTTTATTCTTTCTGAAATTAAATATGTGGTTGTTTTCTATTTTAAAGTTAAATAGTTATTCAAAATCATATATCTACAGACAGATGAAAAATTGAAGGAAATACCTGAAACACAACAACCAGACTGTCATTAGCCGGTCTGGTTGTTGTGTAATGCTCTGCTATGATTAGACTGTTAAAATAAAATATGTGGTTATTATACTGCAGTGTCTTTGCAGGACCTTAGCAAAGAGGGAGAAGATAAAAAAATGCTAAAAAAGGTTCTGTACAGATTAAGGTAAATAAAGGTCAAATGTCACTTAATTTTTACATAAACACTGCTTTTACTAGACTTTATCATGTGTTTTAAAAATGAAAGGTGGCTTTTGAACTTTTTAATTTATTACTAGTTAACATGGATGTTTAAATTCCATATTACTCAGTCCATAAGCTGTTTAATTAATAAATTAAACACCAAATATAAATTCAACAACTTGAACCATTCTGTTATTTTTTCCCGTCTTCTTGTATAAAATGGTTTTTTTGTCTTTGTAATTTCATTGCCTAACAAAAAGAAGGTATTTTTGTAAAGCAAGCATTCTGTCTTTTGTCACACATTGTTGACTACACTACACTTCATGAAGTCAACAAAATTAAAACTGTTCATTTGAGCAGTCATATCTGTATTCAAACAGAGACATCTGTTGAAGGGCGAAGACTTTGCAGAAATGAGAAAGAAAATTCAGTTGAACACATAAATGTGATTTTGTTACTCACTTTCTCCCAGTGTGGCCTTGGGCATAGAGCTTTTCATATTGGGGTGGCTGTTCTTGAATCTCTGAATGACATCAACACAAAATAGATTAACTTAATTAATCTGAGATAAAGATGTTAATTCATCTGTCCATCCATCCATTTTCTTCTCCTTGTCCAGAGCTGGGTCACGGGTACAGCTGCCCCAGCCCTCACCTCCAGCTTACTTAGAGAAACACCAAGTCGTTCTAAGCCTGGCTGAAAAATGTAATCTCTCCAGCGTGCCCTGGTTCTGCCCCGGGGCCTCCTTCCAATGGGATATGCCTGAAAAACCTCACAGAGAAAATGCCAAGGAGGCATCCTAGTCATATGTCCAAACCACCTCAACTGGGTTCTTTCAATGGATGGATGGTCTTTTGTAAATTGAAATTGTTGTCCTGTTTTTCTTTTTTGGTTTTTCATCACGTAAAGTCTCCTGACCATTGTTAGACTGTTTATGTTGCCCAATGTTCAGCTATCTATCTGTCTACTAAAGTTTCATTGACTGTTTTACTAAAAGATGCTGAACCACTCTTTTATGCGAAGTATTTCACATTTTTGTGTCATGTACTTGTCACATCTCCGGTGTATCCAAAGACACTACACATGAAGATTCAGATTAATCTATCTCAACTATTTGATGTTCAAATATTGGTCTGTTGTCTGACTAAACAATCTGGCTGTATTCACTAAAATGATTTATAAAAAGTTTATGAAAGCTGTTACATGCCAAAGTCTTATATTTGTATTTGTTACAGCTTTTGGTTTCTCTACCTGTTGTTATCTGTGATGAAGAAAAGTCTGGTATTGACTCCATGCTCCGTTGTGAATCAGAAGCCATTTTCAGGCAAGGGGATCCAAACTCAGCGTCTTGAGAAGTTGTCCTCTCCATAATGTCACTCTTCAGGCTGCAGAGCTGCACAAATTTTTTCAGTGAGCTGACATCAACAGCACAAACAGATTAGGAGAATAAGTAAATGGTAAATGGCCTGTATTTGTATAGCGCTTTTACCAGTCCCCCCCTAGGGACCCCAAAGCACTTTACACACCCAGTCATCCAACCATTCACACACACATTCACACACTGGTGGAGGCAAGCTACAGTTGTAGCCCCAGCTGCCCTGGGGCAGACTGACAGAAGCGAGGCTGCCATATTGCACCATCAGCCCTTCTAGCCAACCAGTAGGCAACGGGTGAAGTCTCTCGCCCAAGGACACAACGACCGAGACTGCCCGAGACAGGGCTCGAATCAGCAACCTTCAGATTACAAGGCGAACTCCCAACTCTTGAGCCACAATCGCCCCGATAGTAAGACAAAAAATCATCAGAAACTTTTACTGTACTTTGAACTGAGATATGGAAGATCACTGAAAATCAAGCATCATATCTCTGAAGGTTCTCAGTCATCCAGGTCATCGTAGTCTAAGGAGCTTGGAAAGAAAGGCGTCTGGACTTCTTTAAGTTGCTTGACCCTAGAACTGAAGAAACTTCTCGGATGAGAGGTGAAACATTTTCAAGCAACTTAAAGAAGTCCAGACGCTTTTCTTTCCAGGGTCCTTAGACCAAGCAATTTTAATTTAAGATAAGAAGTACAATATCATCACTGACAGCCAGACAATTTTAGACAAATGTATCTGTACTTCTACATGTAGATAAGTGAAGAATATCTATACCTGTGTCACCGCTGCCGTTGCCTCTCTTGAGAAACTCGAAGCTCTTTGTATACCCACCGGATGTTTGCTGCTGCCTGTGTTCTGCCTCTCTGTCGCACTCAGGATGTGAGAGTTTCTGTCACTTCCTGTACTCACACAGATGGAACCAACTTTTTTGAATAGTTTAGTTCTATTAACAAAAAAGAAAGAAATAAATTAACGTATTTCTGAACAATTTTCTTAATCTTTCTGGTAACACATGTCACATGTCAAACTGGGGCTGCCACTATCTGTGTAGATGGAATACAGAAAATATACTACTAAATATAATAGACAAACATATCCTCATTCAGTCCCACCCAGTAGCGGTTTTTGATATGGGCGACATGGGCGGTTGCCCAGCACCGGCAGAGCGGCGGGATGGACTTACTAGGCTTAAGCCCGGGTTGTTTTTTCAGAAGCCCCGGGTCTTTTGGAGTGTAATTTTTTCATAGTTAGATGCCTGGCTGACACTGTATAAAACAAAGACTACACACAATATTCGAAGAACACAGGGCACAATCGTAAATTCACCCTAATTTTGGTATGATCCAAACTTAGGCACTAGGCGACTGAGCACAGCACTTATGCATGTGAGCGAGGGGGGAGAAGCTGCTGCCTGCGAGTTTGTAGTGATGGGATTTCCGGCTCTTCAGGTTGTTTTGTTGCTTTAATTAATTTATTATTAACAACAATATAAAATTATGCACAAAAGGAATTACTAATGTAAAAAAAAGTGGTTTTATTTATATATGTTTATATATAAATATATGCGGTGGACCCTAGAGTCAAAGCACGTACAAACTCAAAAACACATTTCTAGTTTTAACTGAGCTTCCAAAACAGAGCTACCTAGATCACTTAAATTACACAATTGAAAGCATATGTGTACGTGTGGACGTAGCCTGAGAGTGTAACTACTGCCCAAGGGCGTAGATTTGGTTTTGGCATTGGTGGGGACCAAACCCTGCCCTGTTTCTTTTTTTTTTCCTTTTTGTCTTTCTTGATAAAAAAAAAAAAGGAGAAATATACTTGCGTACATATGCTATTCTTTTAAACCATTTAAAATTACAATTCATAGTTTTATATCGTTAGCTTCATAGCATAAGTGCCTAAGTCATTTTTTTGTGTTTTCGGAAAACAAGACAAAACTAATTTTCTAAATATCACATGCATATTTTTAATTGATATTTTCAATTTGACCAAAAAATGACTTAGGCACTTATGCTATGAAGCTAACGATATGTG